ATGGAATTTATTTTTATCTAAGTTTTAAATAGTAATTGTAAAGATACATAATTATGATATCATGTTTAACAAGAATGATGAAGAAATCGACCACGAAAAATGCATGTACTATACTTAGAAAACGACAAGATGCCAACAAGCATCTTTGCAAATTATCATCCATAAGTTCCTTATTTTTAGCGCATTCAATGTCTGCTAGTATTACAAGCCCTAAAACTGTGACATTATCATATTTGAATTTATTAAATACTAATCAAAATATCTAATTTTAATATAAAAATTTTAAGTTTTCCATATATATATATAACTAACAAAAGATTTATTTAATAATTAACATTTTTTATTAATATCTTTTGATAATTTTAAAATTTATATTTATTACTAATATAAATAATTTATGCCAATAAAGAGCAATTCCTACATTAAATTTAAATCAAAATTATTTATCTTCTTGATATAAAATATATAAGTACATTAGGCGGAAAAATAGTTTAACATATTGAAAGAGAAGAAAAAAAGAAACAGAGTTATTCACAAATATTAAAAAAAAAAATTATTATAATTTATAATTCGTTTTTTAGTAAACGAGTGGTTTAGCAGTTCAGTAGAGCGGCAAAATGGACGCGCGCTTTAGAAGCAATCTCGACATGATTGGGCGCAACGAGCCTATCACAAGGAAAGCCAGATTCTGGCAAAGTTATGTTCGAGCCTTAAAAGGTAATCCATTGTTTGTTAACAAAAATTAAATGATTTTAAATCAAACTTTTTTCATTTCATTTCTTTTTAATTTGAATTCTTTTTAAATTGTTCAATTTCTTTTATAATTTATGTTCATGTGCTTCCAAATCTTCCAGATCTATTGATATATGTTCATATTATCATTATTATATTGTATTATTATTATATTTCATAATTATTGTAATATTAAAATGTAAAAAAGATGTAAGAATATATAACCTTGAAGAAATTCATGATAAAAATTATTGATAATGACAGGTACCGATGATATCAGAGCCCCTGAGCACACGCACAGACCCCGCAGTATTTTCCGCTCGGATTACCCTGAGCTGCATTCCACCTCGTGGCCATTTGGAAAATCTATCTTTGAAAATCCCATCCACGCAGCTGATCGCATCAACGTTCCTGGATACAGGTAAGATTATTTTAGAAATTTCTTACTGAGACTACATAAAAATCAATACTTAAGAATCTTTTAATGAAAACTTTATAACTTTATATAAAGTAATATAATTACATCATAAATTACAACTAAATTAAAAATGTATCAAGTCGATTAATATTTCTAGGGCAATAATATGCTACAGGTAAATTATATTTTTCAAATATTTTTTCTAATAAAATGAATGTTACTCTTTCAAGGTACCTGCCTGTTCACCGTGAGATCTACGGTTACTCACCGAGGCAGATCTACCCGCATCAATACAAACCTGTAGAACGCTTCATCCCTGGTACGTACTAAAGAACTCTGAGCAAAAGTCCAAAGAGAGTGAACGACGTCGTAAAAACAAAAAATTATATATAAAAATCAATAAAAAAAAAACAAAAGAGAAAGAATCGAAAAAGTAAAACGCGAAACGAAACGAAAAGTTTGGAAAGCTTAAAACATTCTTGTACTACACACACATCTCGAACGTCTACGAACGAGAGAGAAGAGAATAAGTACAACCAAAAGTAAAGCAAAAAAAAAAAAATAACGAAAGCAAAAAAGACCTGAGTGAGAACGAAAAAGAGAATGAACGAAATAAACGCATGAGAATGTGGAACGAAAGCATCATCGTCGCTGTACCATTGAATCCAATTAATATAACTGCTCGTTCTCGGGGTTTTCTTCCTAGTTAATAATTTAAGTTCTTCTCATTAATTTGTAACCAGGTGTTTTTGGCTTCTACCTATTGAATAAATGAATAATTTAGAGCAAAGTTCAAACAATTAATAATAAATAAAAAAAGAAGAAAGGCGATGGACAAAGACATTTTTGTCGGAGGTGTAAATATTCCAGAATTTGCGAATTTTCCCTCCTCAAAGTCTTTCTCAGAAGCCAAAAACGCCATCTTGGAGGATCCGTCTCGTATCCTTAGAAAAGCCCTCCACCTTTGCCTGCACCTCAATCGTGACTAAAAAAGAAAGGAAAAAAGTGAAAATGAGTAAAAAGGAAGAAGAAAATGTAAAATATATGGGATGTTTTACCCCCACCTTTTGAAAAAAACTTTTGTATTATGTGTCATCCCTATTCAATATGTAAAATGCGTATGCACTCTCGGACATATACGTATTTTTGGATCATGTTATTTTATCTCAAATTCAATAATTTATCTATAATCCGTGTCTCGATACCTCTTCACATACACGAAACCATGTCATGATATGTGTAATACTAATTTACTTTACTCCGTGCACTTTGTATCTAAGTTATTATACTTATATCGCTATATAAAAATATGCATCTATACATACGTATAAATATATATAATTATATTTAAAATGTGCCCCAAAACTTGTCTGCCTCGCGATTATATAATTCGTTAAACTGGATAATTCATTTTTGTTTTTTCTTTTTTTTTGAAATAATACGATAATTATGATTTTCCTTTTTTCAAATGAAAAATAAGATTCAATTGACAAAAAAAGGAACGGAGCATTTGACATCCACTGATGATCAACACTCCACTAGTATTTATTAGTTAGTTTAAATTAATATACATCAAAGATGGGAAATAGTTTTAGTAACCCATTAACGATTAACTCGATCATGATAATAAAGAAGTTTATTAGAAACTATTTGAACGTAAATAATATCTCATCAATAATCATTTGTTAATTTGAGACTAGTATAGTTTCTGTATCATTAAATTGATAATGTAACTGTGCTACAGATCTTCATACAGACTAAATACAGCATATGTTGTCTTATAACGTGAATAAGCAATTTTAAAAAGTAACATAATTTATAGAAAATAACTTAGCAGCAGATATGATGAATTGATGTGCTATAGTCTGTCGAAAATCAATTAACTGCTCAAGGTTGCTTCTTCCATTATAAATAATATAATTGGATACTAACGTGCATATCTTTCACATAATGTGATATTTTGCATCTATACAATTATGACTGAAACAAAATAAAATATATAAATTTAATAATATGATATAACTTAAAACAATAATAAATTACAAATTTTTAAAAAATTATTTGTGATTTTATATGTAAAATAATAACAGAAAATAATATAATTGAATTTAATTCCTAATAGCCTTGATTAATTAATTAATTTTTGTCAGACAATAAATAATTTATATAAATTTCGATGACAATAACAATAGAAAATTAAAAATTGTAAATAGCTGCTCAAGATAATGCCCATCTCTGTTTCTAAAAATCATAAATCTAAATGACAATTAAAACATTTAAATAGATTAAACGTAACAAGTGTCGACGCTCGTACTAAGTGATTGAAAGTCTTTATAGAGGCAACATTCAACAGTGAATTAATAATTAAATTAATATAATTAATACGATCAATCACAATGATACGTTAAACATCGGTGGATGTATCTCATGTTGACGTCATCAACATGGAAATATCGATGGATGGAAATGCCGACAATCTACGATCAGAAGACAGACAGAAATGTGGCCAGGCATCGTGGATCATCGTTCATCGATCATCGATCACACTATTATCATCATCATCATCCACGTTTTCTGTCTTCCCACTTCGTTGTCCAGTTGAATGAAAACATCTCCAGCTAAGCTACTGTTCTCTAATGGAATATAAACGAATCGCATGCAGCTCTGATTCTAATTTCTTTCCAGGCACTAGACCCAACAAATGGCCTTATCTCAATAATCTCGTCGATATGAGCGACCTTAGACGACAACAAATTGCACGACACTGGCAGACTAGAGAAATTAAACAACGAAACACGCTTACTACCCAAATACGACTTCGTCATTGCATACGAAGGAAGGATACTGACATTTTGCGCGATGCTAATTTACCCATCTTTAATTAATCCATTCTAATTCTTGATATTTTTCTTAATGTTGCATAAAGTCATATCTTAGAATTTTAGATTAGTATTTTCAAATGATTGAACTAATGATTCATTTTGAATGGTACATTATCAACCAAAAGTATAAAATCATACTAATTTTCTCGATTTAAATTCCATAAATTTTTTCATAAAGAATTCTATTATAAAATGATTTTTCACTCATCATAATCATTTAATTAGAATATAGTATATATATATATATATCATTATCAAGACTATAAACCGCTTAAGCTATCTGATTTCATATCTTTTGGTTTGTATTGTACAATACATGCAAAAGACACATAAAAATCAAACTCAGTAATATACAGTAATTAGTTCAAATCATACTCAGCGCACTTACTCATACCACGGTATTAACACATTCCTTCATCACCAACGAAAGCAATGATTTCACGTGCATCTAGTGCTTATATAGTGCTTGGATTTCTCTTCATCGATGTATTTAGACGGTCGTCGAGAGAATATCACAATTTTCCACGGTTCATTCAACAAGAGCCTGAAAAAAGGAATACGATCAAAGCCATCTCGAAACAATGGCCAATACAACGAATTAAATACTACTTACGAATTGCTTGTAACAAGCACAAGAAAGCTGCTGTACACTGTATATATATATATGAAATTTTTAATAAAATGAAGTGACTTGAGGAAGATATTGAAAATAATTTTTCTATTTTGAATACTATAATTTTGCTAAATTAATAAATAAACTATATTTTTTTATTTTGAACAGATATTTTTTCCTTTTTCAACAAAATTTCTTGAAAAAATTTATTTTTCTTACCATTTTTGATAATATTTTTTAAGATGGTTATTCAAATTATTCACGGACGAGTTTATATTGGAATGCAACAATATTTTTCGTTGCGTTTCGCTTGCGTTTCAGATCATTTTTGATTTTTCGTTTTTTGGTGTAAAGGACTTTTCATTTTTCTGTTTTTTGTCCATGATGATAAATAATATTTAGAAGACATTAATTATTGCAGCTGAGGTGGAGGTCGCAGTTTGATTACACGTAACAAGCGTCCTCAATAATCTGGAAAAGAACGAGATATGTGTAAAAAAGAAATAATGATAATAAAAAATTGATTTGATATAGATAATCGTAAAAGAAAATAAAAAAAAACAATACAGCAGCGATTCGAACATAATTATAGCAAAGGATTGAATTTATGAAAGAGAAGATAGTCATGAGATTTAGAGCAGAAGAGAAAAGAAAACAAAGAGAATGAATAAAAGAAAATTCAATATGGCCGCCAAACTTGAAAAAGCTGGAAATTTTCTCTCGACGCTTTCGCGTTTTTGATTACTGATTTATTGAATCCAACATCGTCACTTATCTCCACTTATTATTCAATTATTCGATTTTTATCTTTCTATATAAATTAATATAAATAAAAATAAAATAGAAAAGAATTGAATATAGGAGATGAAAAAACGATGAGGAACAATTGACACAAACACTCTAATTAATAAACGCTTTATTACGCACGCGTAAAGTATTCTGTTTCTCCGATTAACAAGTGATAATCAGCTAGATCCAAAAATTTCTATCTTTTTCAGGAAATGGCATGTCTTTTTTTTCTCTTATTCCAATCCCTTTAGCCTTTCCGTTGTATCAGCTTATGTACGATAATTAAATTGTGGATATTGTGCAAACTTATATTGTGTGCATTTATTTTATTTTAAATAAAAATTTTCCATTTAATGCACTTTACATATTAAAATTTTTTATGCAAATATCCACAGTAAAATGACATAATATAATTATAATTCTTTCCTTCGATAGTGTCTAAATAGTATCTCATAAATTAACTAAATTAAAATAATTTGACAAATTAATAAAGTCATAAAAATAAATTGGTGATAGATTGTAAAAAAAATTGATCTGTATTTCGTTCAATCTCGATGATAGCCACGACTTCCTAACGATAGCAGAAATAACGTTTTGGGGCGAGTTTCTAAATATTGAAATTCATTAAGCGATCTACAAGCAATATAAAAAAAAAAGGAAAAACATTTTTGGAAATTATCATACTTTTTATCTCTCTACTTTTATTATATAACGGAGAGGATGATGTGATTTTTTGAGGCGGTATTTTTCAACCTCACCAGGTTAGTATACTTTTTTATACGTTACGTGGCGTCGTGTTATATTTCATTTTTGTGAAAGCGTCTCGAATGTTTCGTTTTTCTCTTTTAGAAGGAAAGAATCGTGAGCTTCGATGGGCTTCATTATACATTATATATATATATATCTATAGCTTGCAGATAGAGTGGAAACATGCACGGCTTGAAAAAATGAAATACTTATAAACGAGGATAAATCCTAATTCGCACTTTATACTCTTACTTAACTGGTTTCTATCGGATTACAATTGAACACGATTTAACAGAACTTATTAACAACTTATTATTCTTTTACTTGAATGAAATGTTTTAGAGAGCAGAATACTTTAAAATAAATTGTTTGGATAAAAAATGTTATATGATTATCTTTTATCTTTTTACTATTTTTTACTTATAATAAAATTATATCAAATTTTATTATACTCTCTCTCTCTAAAACATTCTATATCTTTTATTAAAACTACTCACAATATTGCATGCTAGCTTAATATAAATATTGCTACTAATGATAAAAACATCTTTTTTTTACGTTATATAAATGCTTCAAGCTAAAATACTAAAACAGAGAAAATGAAGCGCAAATGAATAATAATAATTCGATACATTTCGGCCAAATTCGCGAAATAAAAATAAACCGATTATACGCACGGTTTTCATATTAGGTGTTAAGATCACATGTAGATTGTAGTACATGATAATTGACACAGAACGATTCATCGAAGAAAGACAATTAAAAAAGATGAATCTCAAGTCTCTCTATAGTTTAGTAACATGTTTTTTTTAATGCGAATTTGTTAATTTTTTTTTTTTTTTTTTTCTTAAAATATCATCAGTCCTTCTCGATGGAATATAAGTTCTTCTTCGAGTAACAAATGATCATCTTGTTCTCTCTTGTTCCAAGATTTCAAGTCATTCTATTATATGAAAAAAATTTTATTAAAAATATTATAAGTATTTAAAGTATTTTAAAAATTGTATTTCTTTTTTTACTCGAAGACAAGTCCATAAAAAAAAATTGAATCCGATTTATAATAAATTTGATTCGATTTTTTACTTATATTTTATATACTGAGATCATAAGAGTATTTTTAATTAATTCGTTGATAAATCAAATTGAAATAAAATTTTTTAAACATATCTATAACATATAAGATATAAATAGATTATTTATTAATTATGATTTATCAAGAAATTTTTTTATAAGATAAAATTCTCTTGTCTTCTCTTCTTACCTTCATTTGTTTAAGCATGTAATGTCGAGAAATTAGTCTTATCTTCAATTACAAATCAATATTTCAATATAACAATCGTGCATTGCAAATCACGTAATTCTTGACAAACTATTGAATTCTCGATGTTGCATAAATCTGTCGATTGCGTTCCTGTATAGGTCAAACCCTATCGAACTTATTAAAAAATGTTCAAATAAAATCAAGAAAAAAAATTTACAAAATATAAAAAATTCAGTACAAATATACTCATATACGAGAACTCTAAAATAGATTTCAAAATTGTTGCATTTTTTAGGATTTTTATTCTATTATTCTATTATATCTAGAAATATAAATAATTTTCTAAATCTAATAATAAATAACATGTATATCCAAAATATTGCTGACAAAAGAACTTACTAGAATAATTGCGATGAATATCCAATTATTTCGAGCCAACATCAAAAAGTTCAGAAGGGTAAGATAGACAGGAATGCATGATTGCCACGAGCGAATTTTTGTTTCATTGCCATGAATATCACAATACAGCGAAACCATTCGACCCTGAGCAAGCTTGGGCTGATCATCTGAACCGCTTGGCAGACATTGACAAGCTGTATCCAAGCAAATCGCCTTTGCTGGCTCGGCATATTAGCCCTCCTCTCAGTACGAAACGATTGTTCGATATCCACGGTGAGTACCACTCGTTGCTTTAACTTTCCGTATGAGGTTTGACTTGATGTAGAAGTTTTCATCACAAACATTGGATCTTCACACATGACTTACTAAGAATATCAGTGAAATAGATTTAATAACAAGTGTGAATAGAATAGTGGAAAAAAATAAGGAAGAAAATTGAAGAACTTCTGCTGTGCTATCTCTTTGTGATAAAATGTTGAATACTTATGTGAAGATTGTTAATGTGAACATGAAAATTTATAGATGGTTTGGATTTTAATAGAATCATAATATTGGAAGAAGTTATTATGCTGATATAATGAAATGTTTCTGTACACTGAAAGAGTTATTTGTTTTTTATATAAATAGAAATATCTTTTTATACTATTTCATTTGCTGATGAAACTGTGGAATATTTTCAGTCATCTAAATTAAACAATTTCTTTTTCTTATTTACTAGAATTTAATCTCATTTTTTAGAATTTGTTTATTCATTATTTTACTTTACATTTTATGAATCTTTTTCTTTTTAAACATCAAATATTTTCACCATTCTTAAATATAAATATTAATCTATTGTTTAAATATAATATTTATAATTTTTTATTCACATCTCAAAATTCAGAATATAATTATGAAATTTATAATAACATTCCATTAAATTATTAAAAAATCTTAAATTATTTATCTTGTATTTTTTAATATGATTCATTAAAATCTCAAATTCCATAACAAGATGTTATAATTATCGTATTGTCCAATATTAAGAAGATGAATAAAAACCTGTAAATGAAGATTACTTTTAATTTTAGGTAACTTGGTAACCGATTACGATTATTTACCATCGTTTCCTTCGTTGTTACGCAAGAAACCATTGTTCGACCTCCTTGAGCCATCAGTAATGGCACCGATGAGCGCTTTCACTAGAGACCCATGGTGGTATCCCAGTTATGCTCCTTATATTCCAAGTTATGCTGCAAAATCCACTCCGTTCTATCTGAGAGATAGTTATCTAAGTCCTGTTAAACGTAGCTATTTGTGGAGCCGACATCCCATCAGGCCTTTCGGTACGTATCCATTTTATCTTGTTATTAGAGATACTTTAATGAGTAAAAGATAATTCTTTGTCTGAAAAAATAATTTTAGACTTATCTTTGTTTAATAGTACGGTTAAAGTATGGTTAGAGTGTATTGTTCTTTTGAAGTATCTACTTTCTTTTGAAATATACTATTGTGTAAGTGATAAATCAATTATAGATGTTTATATATTCAGAGAAAATATAAATGGAAACAATGATATAAGATTAATTGATTTGTAATAACTATTTAATTTTTTTAAAATGAAATAAGTAATAGTTTCATAAAAACATTTATTTTTTCAAATAAGTCAATTTTCTCAGATAAAGAATGAGAAAAGATTAAAAACAAATTTAAAATAATAATTATAATTCTTAGAAATTATATGAGTATATTTTTATTTTCTTTTTTCATTATTTTTTTTATTATTTTTAATTGTTAAAAATTAATTTTTTTTGCTTAAAAAAAATCAAAAATTAAATCATTGATTTCTCTAGAATAAATTACATACCATCACATAATTCATCTGAAAACTACAATCAGCATGATTTAATAAATTGCAGAGCAAAACTTATGCGTAAAACTTACAAATTCAAAAATTTTGCAAACTTCTATTGCAAAATATCAACGAAAATATAAATATCTAAATACATAAGACTGTTCAAAAATTTCTGGACAGTTACCATCTCGTTTTTCACATTCATAAATTTGTTCTAAATTCATCTTGAAACATGATACAAATCAACAAAATAAAAAGCGGAAAATAATGCATAAAACAATTGTTTAAAAAATTTCGTATGTTATTATATTCTTTCACGATAAAAGAATATTGTTATCGATATGCCAGCATTTAATTATTTATAAAATTTTACGATCATTTTAAGCAAATTTCTTTTCACGAATGTTCGATCGAGTGTTCAATTACATAATATTATGAATTTAAATTATGCTTGGCGTTATTTGATCAATTGTTTACTATTTGGCTCAAATATATGTATTGTTGCTTCTACGAATTATCTGCGAAATTCGCAGTAATCCGTGCCAAACGCGAACTTCCGGCTTCAAGCCAAATATACTCCTTCCCCTTGGTAGTCGATTAATTCACGTGTTGGCATCACACTCTATTAAAATCCTATTATTCAACTCTGTGAATCGAACAATCAACATTGCATAAAAGATTTATTATTAGAAACTCATTAAAATCTGAGATAAAATCATTATATTAAACAATGGCTACTTAATACAAATTTTACATAAGACGATTGAATGTTGACAAAATATTATGAACTAAAAATTAAATTAAATTTTTTGAATTTTTAATAAAAGATAAAAGTATGAAATTTATCAGAATATAAGTCTTACTTTTAAAAAAGCATATTATGTATTATTATTTTAAAAAAAATTCAGATCAATAATCTATTTTTTTATAATAATAACATTATGATAAAGGTAAAGGTAACACGTACTTGGATAATCGGTGTTCAAATATCACGATAATTATATTAGCATTTAAGATTCAATATTTTTTTCCATTCAATAATAATTCAATAATATTAAAAAAATTTGTTCTAAAAAAACATTAGTTATAGATATTTGTCAATCAAAAATTGATAGTTGATTGAATTTAAAGATAATTAAAATTTACTTACACATATACTTGATAAACGTTGTCAAAGATGATATTGCAACTTTTAATCTGGTAATTCTGATAATAATGTTGTTGACTTTGCAACATTGTTTATCTCGAAAAAATTTTATATCGATATGAAGCTATTTATTTTTTCCATACGTGCATTTCGATCGATCGATATTCGTGTGAGAAATATGTATCTATTCGATGTTTCTATACAAACAATTCATATTAATTAATTCAAAAATTGATAAAAATGTTATTATAAAAAGATCATTAAAGAGATTTTATTCATAAAATAAAAAAATTTAAAAATATTGCATACAATTCAATAATAAAAGAAAAAAAAATATTCTAAGAAACAGAAGTGATATGCAATTCGAATATATCTGTTATATTTCAGGAGCGTTATACTACTATTATTCGCAGCCAGTTCCACGATTTCACTTTACCCGCCCATGGTACAATAAACGTACCACATATTAAGAAACAAAGTGAGCGATAAGATTAAAATGTGGCCAAGTATTTTACTTACCTTACATGTTATCCTTATATGTTAATTCTATCAACAAACAATCAGGAAGAACGATCACGTCATACTGCTGTATATATTTCTGGCTACGATGAAATTTATTTATCAATTAACATTAGCAGCTAAACGTAACAAATAACAGGACAAAAATGAAATTAGTTTCAAATTTAGATTATCATTACTCTATTTCGTATCATTTGGATTGTTCGAGTAAACAAACTGAAATATCTGATTCTAACTATGTCATCGTAAAATTATAAACTACTTACCTTTTTATAATCTAAAATGATCATCCAATTAAAAACAAAAAAAGACGAAGAATTGTCACAAAAAAAAACACCACACATCTGTATTTTATACGTGACTTACGTGCCTGGATTTACAACGCCCTCTAATAGGATTTTTTTATTTGAAACTTGCTCCTCTATGTACATTTCATTCAACTAATATGCAATATACAATTGTGTACATATCGACTGAAGATTGAGGCATGCTCTGCAAACAGAAACTTCTGGAATAAATTAATCATACAAAGAATATTTATTCTTTATTTTACAACAATTACTGTTTTTCATAAATCTGTAGTTTGTGTTTGCAGACGATATTCGGATTTAACACTGCAGCTTCAGATGTCTCACGAGATATCGACAGACACCGGAAACACAATCCGTGTCGAAAATATTTTTCTTACCGTGTAAAGATATACTTCCTTTCTCTCCTTTGTTGAAAGATATTCTAATTCTTACTATGTGTACACCTATATCCTTATCTTATGTTTTGAGAGTTCTATAAAATACTGTATTGTATTTTTGTATTTTAAAACATGATAAAAATTCATTCATTATTAAAAATTGTAGAATTGTAGAATTATTAAAACAATTATTCCAAAGGTTAGAAAAAACTCTACTTAGAACTCTCGAAGCAATATTCATTTTGTTATATTTTTCGATTAATATTTATACCTGATTGATTAATCAATTTTTTTGCAGCTCATGCCTACTGATGACTGATCATCACCCCGAATGGAACGCGTGATACGAAAATAAGCGATGAAAAAAGCCAAATAAAATTACGAAAAAAGATAACAAAAAAAAGATGTGAAAAAGTATTTACATCGTATCCTAAACAATTATTCGATATCTATTGCCTGATTATTTTTTTTCTCACAGTACGTATCATCGTTCACGGAGTTCTATTTATTAACGTTTCTCAACACCATGGTTTATTGTATTATTCGTTCATGTTGTCTACGAATAAAATAAACACTGCCCAAATTTTACTACAAATCTTCTTTTTTTACAAAAACAATATGATCATATACACGCGATCTTATCGCTCCCTCTTTCTTATTATTCACATTTAAACATATTTAATCTAGAGCCAAATGTTAAGCTCACGGAAACAGGTTTGTACAACAATATGCATGTTTATTATCTGAAAGTTTTACATCTTTAGGATGTTATTGAATTAGCTTATTCTGTCGAGATTCGATTAACGTAACAATAGCTGATTATGTGCACATAACTAGTATTATTGTATTTGACAGAGCATCGTCGAATCCCGACCGATCAGCCATTTACAAATATAATATCTATGTGTATAATTTATGAGTCTCAGACAAAACGCATATATCGAGGGATCACA